CAGATGTGCTGGCTGCCTATGAAGGGCTTGGCCATAGGATGTTAGTGGTTTAAAGTAACAGGAAACCTGAGGAATATCATAAATCAGGCTTTTCTGACTAGGTTTTTTGTACAGAGTATAACAAAATGTATTGAATAACTTAAGTATGTGTGAGCCTCCTGCCTACCAAATTACTGGGGTCTGCCAGTGGAAAGCACACTAATTTGATGTTGGCCTCAGACAGAAAATTGTTAAACGAAAATTAGGTTTCAGCATTTTAACAAAAGATCAACTTGGAGTTCAGTGTTAACAGGAGCCTAAGGATTTAACTAACTGTAAAGAAAATAAAGAAAGACAAAATTCTTGACTTTCTAAGCCCCAGTCCTGAGAAAAGATTGTACTTCTGGATCGCAGCACGAGGGACAAAGCGTGTACCAAAGGGTGGGTTTTCTTTCTTTTTTTCTCTACTGCCATGGATTTCAGTATACATTTTCTACTTTTCCACACTTCTATTGACTTTTATTAACAACAAACAGAAAGTACTAGGCCAAAGTCATCAAATCCATGACAGAGTATTTTAAAATATTAAGCCTCCCATATGCAAGGATATCAGAAGGGGCTGAGCTCAGAGGTCCCCTCACCTGGTAGCCTGGCTCTGCCCCGGCCAGTGCAGGGCACTTAAGGAGAGATATAAGAACCACATCTGAACTATTCCCCATCAGGAAGCTTTCTCCGACCCACATTTCAGTGATAACCCTGGAGATAAACCTGCCTATGACAGTGCAGCTCCTGGTCTAAACAGCTAAAACTACTTATTGCAAATTGGTTCATCCAAGGCCTTAATTAAAAGATGATCTAGTCTTATTACCCAATTAAAGGCCTTAAAAGGTTGCCTGTTTCTCTCCCTGCTCTTCTCTACTCTGGTTAAATAAAGGAAGTACAAAAAGCTGAATGCCTTTTTTTCCATCTCCTAACCATTCTTTTTTTGGGAAGAAGTAATTCTAAACTTCCTTCAGTCTCCTCCTTTCGATCATTTTGTGGAGACAGTCATGACATGATGATGCATTCTTGTTCCCTGAAAAATGGGTCCCACATCAGTGCCTTAGCAGCTACACCTTCTCAGATGCCCATGTTCTCCCTTTCAGAAACCACTGCAAAGTCACTTTTAAACTTATTAACTTAATAGATTTACAGTGGATTGGCCCAAGTTTTACCATTTCCTCCATAGCGTAGATGGGTTTTGGTCAATCTGAGGCGCTCTCTTTCATGCCCTTCCTCTCCCTTTCTCCACGGTGTTCCTACATGATATACATGTACATGGACCTCCTCCTATACCAACTTCTTATGGTTGTGAAAGCAGTTAATACATTAAATGTTAGAGAGAGCTCTTACTTGAAATGCATCCGCAAGACTTAGTCCCGGGCCATATTTCTTATGCTTTTTTTTTTTTTTTTTTAATATATATTTCAGTTTCTGGCAGAGGTACAGGGAGCGAGTGTGGCGTGCAGCATGCAGCCTTTCCCAGACTGTGTAGCTTGGCACCCGAAAATAATTTCTTGAGTTCAAAACCTGTCAGGATGCTCTCTCGAAACCGCTCCACATTTGAGACGTGTAACACTAAAATGTCACTTTTGGACCCCAAACCGGAGTGCCTTCAGCTTTCTGATTGGCAGAAAACTGATGGTTAAACTCCAGGGAATTTCTGCTACAGCTGTAAACTTTCAAAAATACTTTGCTGCTGCAAAAACTATAGAGTGTGGTTTAAATGAACAATATGCCCTCTTCATACCTCATCACCAGAAAGAACACGCTTTTGACTTCAGCATGAACAACCCATGGTTTGATTATTTTTTTTTTCACCAACATGAAACAGGTTAAGCTGTTTTTAGCTTCATTTCTACCTGTCACACAAAATGGACTATATTCCAGACATCTCCGGGAGGAGGAAGAGATGATACAGATGCTTGTGCAGATGTTTGGATCCTGTTCTCTTAATGCTCTATGCAGGACAAATTTAACCTCCTTATATGCCTCGCAGAAGACTAGATCATGGCTCTATTTCATCCCTGGGATCTTGGAGAAAGCCAAGTCTCTAGCTAATATGTTTATGTGACATTCTGAGCTTGGCTCTCCTCCGCCCTTGTGGGCCAAATCCTAATATGACCCAGTGCTCTCTCACATCAACTGGAGTTTTGCCTGAATAAAGTATAAGTTAAAACTGAGCAATGTCTCCAGGTTTCAGGCCAGCAATTCCATTTCACAAAAACTCATTGTATTATAAAAAGATACATCGGCTTCAGCCCACTGCAGCTTTGTTGTTCTTTGGGTTGTTGGGTTTTTTTTTGTTTTCTTTTTGGTGATGATTTTTAAAAATCCGAAATAGGAGAAGGCAGGTCTTCTCCTCCCACTCCCAGGGCTACACCCTTCCCTGAACAAACCTATGCTCAGTGGGACCTGAATCCTTCCCAAGCCAGTTATGTCTCCAGGGTCCAGAGCTGGTTGGAACCCTGCCCTGTTGCAGTTGCTAGAAAGATGTCTCCTGAGGTTGCATGGAGCTGGGTCAGATCCTATTTACTTATAAACAAACCCCAGCTTTTATTCTAGTATTATTTTAATGTTTACTCTTATAATCTCTCCCTGCACTTCATTCAAACACAAGAAATGACTAATGGTTTTATAGGAACAATTCTGACAAGCAACATAGGAAGAGCTAAACAGTCTTGGAGAAGGAGATGACAACTCTCCAGCTGAAGAAAGGCTACTGGAAAATACACAGGCTTGGGGAAAAGCCTTGAGCACTGATTTCTGGCAGGGGTTGCATGCCTTGGGATTACCTGTTGCCTCCACAGTGTCCACACTTGTACAGCCAGTTCTGGCCATATATCTCATTGTTCCCGATGTCAAGGCTCTCTGGACAGCTGGGGCTGCTGTGGGACATCTGGGCTGTCCTTCGCAAGGAACTGTGTGGAAATTTGTCGGAGGGCTCCCAGCCCCTTGCACGATATCGATCCCAGTCCAAATTAGCAGAGACCCCGAACTTGAACCCACTGGCTGGATGAACTGCTTTTGGTTGTAAGGGGTGAAAACTTGAGATGGCATCACCTCTTTGGGTGGACCATGGGTCTATAGGCCAGGAAATGTTGTGTGCATAGAGATGTCCCTGACACGTTGGGTGCAGTCCGGCTATATGGCTTCTGTGTAGGGATATGTGCCCCCCTGCATGGGGATTGGCTTCCCCCGAGCCTGAATGGGGCACAGCTTTGATGTTTTCTGAACTCTCACACCAGCAATACTTGAAATAATTATGAGACCAATGAAGACAAGAAACCAGCCAAATTCATCTTTGATGTCAATCTCTTATGCATACATTTTAGAGGTGCTGTTGAGTCTCTAATCACAGTGCTTCAGTGCTTTAATTGTGCCTTCTGCTTTTGAAACACATTACAGGAAAATGACTGAGTAATCATCACAATCCCATGAATGAGCCGGATAAGTAAGACTGTGCATGGAGAAACTGAGAGAGAAAGAGAGACCACACAGCAAGTAGTGTGAGCCAAGGGGTTAGAAACTGGGATTTCTTTTTCTCTGTGCACAATCTACGAGGCCATGCTACCCTGTATGATCTCATGAAAGAAGTATATTTTCCATCTGCAAGGAACTCCTAACAGTATCAGCTAAGTGCAAATTAGTATGATCATTAGCCTCTCTTTGAATGAGACGGCTGCCAGGAAGCCTGTGTGTATGTTTGAGGAAGAATTCCTAATGTCTGTGTGTCTGGAGGAGTACAAATTCTTCTATTACCCTCCAGTAGCCTAATTAGATTTTACTCTGTTTATTAGAAAAGTTCAGTTGCTAGCTTAACATGAAATAAAATCTGCATGATTAAGAAGTCATGAGCAGTAAAGCTTACAGTATGTTGTTAGAAATTTTCCTTTCGTATCAGCAATGATGAAATTCTCCAGTGTTAAATAAAGTGAAAGCAGGAGTGTGTTTAGATCCAGCAGCCAGGATCAAAATAGAGTGGCAGGGATGGAGGGAGGCTGGGAAGGGAGTATCATGCCATTCAAATGGTACCTGAAATGAGAGAATTAATGGAAAATTTGCATTTTTAACCACATAGCAGACTGGAAGAAAGATCCTTCTTTATGGATCTTCACTGTGTAACAAGGATTGGAAAGGTGCTCCTCCATTTGAAAATATATTCTTCAGCTTTCCTTACCTCCTTCTGCAGACACAGCAGTGTATCAAGAGCCAAGGGCAATAAGAAGACGGAGTAATACCTAAATTTAAGTCTATTTGAACATCTTCAATAGATGTCCAGATCTAAGCTCTTCAGGGTCTGATGGCCTTAGTGATGTAAAATAGACTCCAGGACTAGCTATATCCATTAGACATCAATTTTTCTAAAGGGATGCCTGGTCTTGACCTTGTAATAAAAATCCACTGAAGGCAACAAGATGTTTGGGGTCAGGATCAGATCCTTGCATGAAAAATACAGAGGTCTATGATGAACAGCTAACAATGACTGAGATTTCTGAAGTTCATAGTTTGCCTCCCAGTTCCCAGATCTGAGGTGGCATTGAATCCCAGGCATGCATCCCTCAAAACCTTCATGTAATGTTTTAGGTAATGAAAGTTGGGCAACCAGTAAAGAAGACAAATATTCTGTTTCCAGTGATTTTGTTGGGAACAGCTGGCAGCGTGTCACACACAAAGTCATTAGCAACCTGCAATAAGGAATTTTCCAAAGGGTCTTTGAGTCGATGACCCAAAAATCCTACTCAAAAAATGACTGTGTTCACTTACCTGTGGAAACTAAAATACAGATTTTTTTCTTTCCCCTTATAATCTGAGAAAGTAGCCTTTAATTGCAAGGTAGTTTATTCTTCTAGAGGACCTCCATTACATGGAGCAGCTGTGTCTAGTGTAGATTTTCACTGATGATGGGCTGCACCCACAACCTCTGAGTCCAGGCTACCCCGCTGGTAGTGGTAACCTGATTTACAGCCACAGACGTGATGAAGTCCTGCTTCTTGTGGATCATTTAGAAAGACATTAAGGCTTAGAGTCAGGGTGCAAATCTGAGGACAAGGTAGGAAGCCTGATGTAGAAAGTAAGTTCTGGAGCCTGAAAAAGAAAAGAGCAAGCTCAGAAGAGAAGGTTAGGAGTCAAGGGGGGGAGATGTAAAACCTAAAGCCTTCCCAAAAAAGCAAAGCGATTTGTGTAACCCAAGGGACTAAAAGTACATTTTGGCCCATGGTCTGGTTTTCCTCAGCACGTGCCCAGCCACAAGAGTCCATGTGGTTCTTCTGTTTTCCCAAGTCTTTTGAAATATAGATGCAAGAGTCTCGAATCCCTGCACTTCCCTGCATTCCTCAAGAAATTGGCCCACCAAGTAGTTGTAATTCAGGATACCACCATACACCCACGTGTAAGATTCCTTAACAACTATGCACATTTTTAGGCTCAAATATTTTAGAATTGTTTTCACTGTGCCTGAGCTGTAATTGGCTCAGCTTCCCAAGTGTTGGATCATCTAACTAGAGTGATTTTTGACTCAGAGCCCAGGCACCATATCAAAACATTTATCAATTAATCATAAAAAGTAACTAACATTGTTGTCCACCCAAGAAAAACTGTCACTTACAGGCTCATGTATGTTATTCCTTATGAAAGAGCTGCTATATAGAAGTTGATTTCCTGCACAGACCAGGTGGAAAATCTGCTAAAGGCAGAGGTCAAATCTAGTTTAATTTTATACCCTTTGTTAAGAATGTTCTCTCTCTCTCTAAAAAAAAAAAAAAAAAAAAAACTGAAGAAAAAAAACCCACCCTCACGTTCCTTTCCAAGTTTTCTAAAGTTAATTCATGTGGAAGAAAAAAAGATTAGGATAAAATTTCAAATATTAAATTCAAATGCAGGATTAATGAGTTTTATTTCAAAGCCCCAGAGGTTGTCTGGAATTTAGGACATTTTTTTAGTAGCAGACACGAGACATAGCCAGATGCAGTCGTGTTTGGACCAGCTCAGCACAAATTTAGCACCTTGAAGGAGAAATTTTATGTCTGTTTTGTAAAGCAAACATTTCAACTTTTCCAAAGTCCATTGTCCAGTAGATATTACTGTACCATTGGATGAAAGAATAGACTTAAAATAATGCTGACTTGTTGTTCTAGCACATAGTAATTGCCACCCTCAGTACCATCACTGTAGGTGATATAAGTCCTCTGTCCCATACAATACATGTATATATATATTTTTTTTTTAATAGTGTGAAGTAACCCAGATTAAAAAATGAATTAAACCTTCATCTGAAGCCAAATTCAAGACACTGATGTGATAGTTCAGCATTGCATTCAGAATAATAACAGTCTGCAAGAAAGAACTTTTTGCAACTTGGTTTCTTGAAGACCAGCAGGGAACAGCTTGGCAGAGGTACAAACAATTCTTCTCACGCCCTTACAGATAGCATGGCAAACCCATAGATGAAGAGCTGCTTCACACCCGATCCCTGAGGCAAAGGAGTTGTAGGCCAAACCCGTCCCTTCATTAAAAGATTTTTTTTATCGTCATAAAAATTAACAGCATTCAACTTCCTTCTCAAGCAGGATTGCTCCCAAGAAGCACCAAATAACAGTAGTGTTTCAGGTCACCACTGCTATTTTATTCAAATGAGAGAAATTCCTGATTTCATTCAAGACTGCACTTTACTGATGACTCAAGAAAGGCCAGTAATACCTGTAAGGCATAGACTGCAGATCCAGAGCAGGTTATCTGGACCACAGTATCTTTTGGACAGCCAAAGGTGTTTAGCATTGGCCTGATTGTGTTCTGCCTGAAATCAGAGAATAAAATCTCTGTTGAGTTCAATGGGAGAAAGTAGCGGCCAACGTAGCGCTTAATGCTTTATACATCAGCACCGAAAACTTGATGGGAAGGGACCATACCCTTGCAGTGAACACCTTCAAACATTGGAATCTTGTCTTGAAAGTTTCCAATTATAGCAAGAAGAAAACACTGGCGTTTCAGTTTCAGATTCTGGCTTTTCTTCAAATTAACATACCACAGTCTGTAAATAGAACCAAAACTAAAAAATCATTCTGTTTAAATTCCTTCATTGCCTTAGAAGTGCACCTCACCTATGGAGAATCAATGTAATTAGCTGTAACACAAACAGGTAATTAGGACCTGGTGACAGGCAATCTTCAGTTGAACTATTCTATTTAGAAAAGTACTCACAAATGTTTTATTCTAATTTCTTTTTGAGCTGGAAATCCTACAAGAACAGGTTTTCTTTTCTCTCCTACTCCCTGCCTCCCCACTACAGGACAAAAGTAGTCCATGGAAATAGCCTTGTCTTACAGTACTTCTGTTTATGGTCCTCATCAAAATCAGTAAATGTGATAGCACACAAAGCTATTATGCAAAGTAACAAAGGTATATAAAAAACTCTTTAAAGTTTTGTTTGAGTTGCAATTAAATTTTATGCTCAACTACGATTTTATCCCATCCAGTCACTCAGAATCACATCCCATCTCTAACCCTTTTTAACTGTGATGGAAGTTTGGATTTGAAGCTTCATTTTCAAATGGATTTCTTTAATCCGTTTTATTTTGGACAGGGTGGGAGAAGATGGGCGTAATTGTCAGGAATTTTATATTATAGCTGCCTTGAGCTATTCTAAATGCAATGCTGAACTATCACTAAAGGAATGGAAAAGCAGTGCAAGACAACGGCAGCTGCACTAACTGCAACCAGATTTCACTTACATGAGGCTAATGACTCTTTTTGGTCTTTCTCATCTTTGAACTCAACCCCTGACATTCTCTCAGCATTTTAAGCTGAAAAATATCTTAAAAGTCCAAAATTTCCCCAAATTTGGTGGAATTAATATCTTGCCTGGTTTAGCAGACAAAGCCATGCTATCAGTGGAACAAGTCTATGTTTCGCTTCGGATATCCTAAGAAATGTTTTATTTCTAGACACTGCTTTGCACATATACAATCAGTACCAATACTGTGCAGTTTGACCCAAAACACGTGTCCACAAGTGACCCCCAGATCAGTTGCATTGCTATGACTTATTGTCCAAGGACAGATAAACTGGAGACTCAGCCAAGGGAAATGCTCTCCAAAGGAAAACAGCAGTAGCTGAAACATATCCGATGCACCAACAGGATGTGAACCTTACACAACATCTTCCTTTTTTGAGAATGTATACTCTTAACCCAATAAAAATATTGGGCTGTGCGCCCACCTGGCCTGAGTATCTCACAAGGTTGTTTAGCTGAATAAATCTGCTGGTTTTCCGTTCTTCAGTGTGAAATATTCCTATAGTCGGATGCTCACTTACACAGCGAACAAAGAGTGAAGCATCCCAGTGACCAGAAAATAGACACACACGAGCCAAACGCAGGTCTGGGTGGAAGACTGCTCGGTGACCAGTTGCTCCACATCTGGCTCAGGACTTGAGGATTTCATCCATGGTGCCGTGAGGTTTTACAGGCACTCCATCTATCATTGCATCGAGGCTAAAAAAAAAAAAAAAAAAAAAAAACAGAAAAAAGAATAAAATGAAGATTTTTATGGGCTAGGAGGAGCTAACCTGGAAATATCATTGGCACAAATAGAGCTGTTCAGCAGACAATACCACGCTGATATTGCCATGAGTTTGTTTACCCAAACATGGCCATCCTCACCGACAGTTCCCCACCCTCCTGGTCCCCAGCCTGGTGAGCATCCCCACTGCCCTCCGACTGGTACAACACAAGCACCGCTGTGATTGCCACACTGACAGTTTTATTGCCTCCCTGACCTTGCTATTTTTAAAGAAACAGGTTATCTCGATGATGTAAACAGGTCTTCCTCATGCAGTTATGTTATACCGTTGCAGGGAGCTGGAGCCTTTGGTCCTCACTCATACTGTCAAGTCAACTGTTTCAGGTGCCCAGGAGCTTATGGCACTGGTTTTACAGAAAGCTGCCTAGACTAACAAAGTAATTGTGTTTTCCCAAATCACTCAGAAAATACAGATTTAGTTCTCTTCTTTAAACTTAGCTTACCCAAATTACTAGAAAGAGTGAAACTACCCAGATTCTGACAGCCAAAGCTTAAAAGAACCTCAGTGCGTCCTGGCTGGGAGGTGAGGGGAGATGCTTACATGAGATGCTGGATTGAGCAGGGATCAGTTAAAAGTGTACTTCTGTTAGAAGTGAGAAAGTGCAAGTACAAATTTTAGTGCATGAATGATTCTCCGGATTAAGTGCAGTAAGTAGATAAATGATGAAAATGACATTGTGAAAAATGGCATTGCCCTCACGCTTTGAAGGTGCTCATTGCAAAACAAGAGGGCACAGAATGGCTAGACACTTAGCTAGGGAAAATAAAATATTTCAGCTGGCTGAGTGATACAGATTTATCAGAGACTTGATGTCTAGATTATCTTTTCTAGGGAAGAGATGGACATGGTTTCAGAAAATGTTAGAAGTCTGGGTTAAATTAGAAAAGCACTTGATTCAGTAACTATCCAAGATTCTCTGTATGTAAACTATTTACTCAAAAGGATATGAATAAAATGGAAAATGTCACAGTCTCTCTCCAATTCTAAAATTCCTGCCACAAGTCCTAATTCCATAAACAAAGGTTAGACCAGCTCTGTCAGGAGGTCTTTCTTCAGCAACCATGAGAACAGAACATTTTTTTCAGTCTAAACCGGAATGAGGAAATTAAATGAAAAAAAAAAAAAAATTTCTTGAATTAATGCAGTCTGAACACGGCCAAAGGTTTTTAAACTGCTCCAAATCTTTTCACCGGTCTTTATTCTTGTTGATCTCAGTGTCAAGATGGTTGTGAGACCCTACCACAAAGCTGCCTGGAAGATTTCCTTGGTGCCTCTAAGCCTGCAGGAAGCCTTGAGGGGCATGCATTAAAGGAATCAGTGTCCCTTTCTACTCCACTACTACTGCTTAGTCCCTGGGAACAGGAAGAGGGGCTTATGGGTCACTAAGCACCTAGAGGTGACGGAGATAGGTGCATCTGATACCTCCAGGGGATAGCCAGTGGGTGTAAGCTGCACAGTGACACCGTTCCCATAACGTCAGAGCAAGAAGAGGTGGGTTAGAGTGAAAATGCAATTCGGTTGCTCACCACTCACCCTTCTTTTCTGAAGGAGTTCAGATAAGCAAAATGGAAATGATGTCATGGCTCCCATAGGACACTACAATTCTTTGCCATTTATCCAGCTAGAGTACAACTCTTATTAGTATGATATAACACAGTAGTTGGGAATTCAACAGAAAAAACACAGCTGGAATTTAATAAAAAAACCCCATAGCTTTTAACTCGTTGCCCTTAACACGCAGAGCTACTGTAAGTGAGTGCCTTAACATGAAAACTCTGAAGACCAAAGAATTAAAGTAAATGCAATCAGCAGATTACTAAATACCAATGGGAAATTTAGAGCTATAGAGCAAAATCCCAGAGCATTAAAGGATTTACCGCTTGGCATTGATGAGAAGCAAATCTTTGGATTTCCATTTCTATCCTTAATTAGTAACTGAGGTTTATTTTAGTCTAAACTAAGTCACAAAAGATAACACACCCTAAAAGAAAATAGAAAGCAGTGCAATAAACTTCATAAAATGTCTTATTAGAAAATATTAAGAAAAAAGAATAGATTCAAATGGAAAATCAATTTCCAGCACTTCCATTTCCTTTTGTTTTCTTGTCTTCCCACCCATACTCAGCTCTTTTCTAATAACATTCAGCTCTTTGATAGAGAGGTTACCCAGGGTGGTAACAAAGATAGCATTTTAAACCCAAAAGGGAGGCTCCCCTTTAGAAGGGACATTTTAGGAGTGTTCTTGCTCCTTCACAGCTTGGTTTTTGAAAGTTTGCTGTCTCCCTGCCCAGTTCCCAGGGCCCCTCGCTGGAAGTAGGACCTAAAATGGATGATCTGTGCTTCTACACCACTTCAGCTCTGAAAAAAAAAACAAAACAAAACAAAACAAAAAAACCCCAGCTGTGTCGAATGGAGGTTTTTTTATATAGACACTTTGGGACAGGGGAATGATAAGGGTCTTCTGATTAATCAGGAGATCCCTATCTTGGTTATCTGACGTCCCCGTCTGCCGTTTGCACCACCAGTGATGCACTCCCAGGAGCTGGCTCAGCAGGGGCACCCCGCTTTACTGGCAGGGGCCTGGCTGGGCTGGAGCGTGCCCAGCTGCTGAGATGCACCAGGGATTTTGTGTCTGATTTTCTGAACTGTGATACAGACTCCCACTGCAGCATTTTGAGCACAGCTCTTGCTGTGGCTTCAAGTAAAGCTGTGAAATATAAGCAGCTGGCTTCAGAACAAGAAAAGAAAAAGACCCTGTGAGTAAATTCTGGAGAAATACATAATAAAGAGCCCAGTCCCAAACCAGCCATGTGCTTCAGCAACAAAGAATCTGAAGTACCATCTCCCTGCTGTTACCCAATGCCTGTTTTCCTCCCTTCCCTAGTGAACCCAAGAATACATTTGGTCCCCATATGAATTTACTGTGGAGTGGGCTGCATGTGATTCCTGGGCTGAGGCTGACAGACGATGACCAGGCATGATGGAGTAAGGAAAGGGTGGCATGTTAACAAGGCTAAGGCAGGGAAAGTAGACCCATTTAAGGATAAAGATTTTAGGAAGATGCCCTGTGTGTGTAAGTAGGGGCTCAGTGGTGTATCCCTAGGGTACCAAGACAGGCAACAAGACACAGCTGAGCTGCTTATTTCTTCGTCTTCTATTGTCAGAGAAAAGCAAGACATAGGACTGGAAGGGATCTCTTGAATAATCTGATATATCTCCTTCTATGGCAGGTACTAGGTCAAATAATTCCCATTACAAACTCATTAAACTCCCTTAAAAAACAGGTGATTCGTTTATTTGCCCTGTCTTTACCTACCGCAGCTGCACCAAGGCTTCATTTCAACATCTTCTACTGTTTTCTACTCACCTGTGGAGACTGTTAGGAAAGACAATAGCGACATGAGGGAATCTTAGATAAAAGGATTAAATACTTGCAGGACAAAAGCCAAGGTCAACAAGCTTTGTCCAAGAGTTAAAATACTCATAACAGTCTCATATGTGCAACAACATAACCTCTTGATTTATCTGTTTAGCTTGGGATGTATCACACCAAATGCCAGTAGGGTCACTTCTGAGCTAAACCCAGAAGATAAAAGATTATCTTTTACATGAACCCAGCCTATTTAGCTATGTTGCATTGCATTTGCTGACTTATTACCTTGGTCCTAAGTTGTCTGGAACCCAAAATGGACCACAGCATAACTGCAGTTACGGTTTTGAGTTCCTCTGTCTGCATTTGAAGGCTGAGGTGGGACTACACGCTCTCTTCTGCCTGTGTCCTCCTTTCTGTCTCCTGTCCTTCTCCTCTACAGTTGCTATGATGTGAAAGAAAGAGCAATGCTGGCTCCACCTTAGAAGTCATCACTTTAGCCCAGAGTTGAGCCACAGTTCAAATATTATTTCTAAAGGTCTTCCCCAGAATTCAACTCCACCTCACCAGGCATGGCCATAAACTTCCCTTTGCTCCCTTTCTTCTCCTACCTTACAGTGTGGCTAGACAGAACTTGCCCAAACCAAAAGTGTTGAGGCCAGACACAAAGATGAGGCTCTGCTAATCCCCAGTGTAAACTGGGAGAGCAAAACTGGGCTCACCTCATGCATCTGCCAATTAGCAAGGAGCCAGCAGACATGTGCAGTGACCCCCATATGGTCCATGGGCTTTTGGAGTCTGCGGACTTCAAAGTCCAGATCTACAGATCAGTCCCTACAGCAGCACAATTACACATCGCTTCACAGTCAGGGCTTTGAATCAAATCCAGCCCCAGCATCAAATAAGCCCTCTAAGCTTATGAATCATCTAATGAGTAAAACTGCATTAAGTACCGCCAACCCCAGAAGTTTCAAAGTTGGTATGTAGGCCTCAAATATTATTGTATGGTTTAAAAATTATGAGTTAAAAAACACAAAAACACAAAGCAAAACAAAACAACAAAAAACCCCCAACCAAATTAAAAACAAAACAAAACAAAACAAAACAAAACAAAACAAAACAAAACAAAACAAAACAAACAAGCAAACAAAAAAAAAAAAAAGAAAACAAACCAAACAACAAAACAAACCTATTTTGAATTAATTTTATTTGTCTTGTAGTTTCCAGTCCCTCGGATTAAAAACTAGGCACTTGATGCACAATATCAAAGTTTTCATTACAAGCTGAAAGAATTAGAGATATGCATCTGAGAACAACACTGACTATAGTCATATGATTGAAGGAGTTGTGTCCTTAAGATAAACCATCAAATACCATGCAAAGTAAAAACACAAGTAAGCTCCTTTTCAACTAGTTCATTCATGAAAAAAAAAAAAAAAAAAAAAAAAGAAAACCACAACCAAACCAAAAGAAAACCGGAAAAAACCCCACAGCCTGTTTAATGAATTACTTAACAAGTGGTGATGTTTCAGTTTGTGGTC